TTTTTTTTTTTTTTTTTGAGGGCTTATTTCAGCATAGTGCCTAATATAGTGGAGGTGTTAATGCCTGTCATGTATTGGTAATTTGGCCTTGGAAAAGCTTCAGAGCCTCTCTGTGCAATAGCTTCCTCACCTATAATCAGGGATTACAATCATAACTGTATCATGGAGCTGTGGTGAGGATGAAATCACAAACAGTGCCTGGATGAAGAAATACTTGTAAATTATTGTTCTACTTCTGTCTCCTGTTTCACTCCTACTCATTGAAAATATACTTTCCCGTTGAGTTTTATCATCTGCTCAGCAAAAGTAGCAAAATCTTCAGACAACTTAAATTTGTTACATTAGCAAGTTTCAGGATGTCTACCATTGGTCAAGCCTGTTTTTCAACATTATGTTCTCAGTGCCTACCGGGTGTGTAAAAAATGGCCGCTTTTCTTTTTTGTTTTGTTTTTTGAAACTATATAGCACAGGTTGGCCCTTGAACTCACTAGGTAGTCCAGGTTGATCAGCTTGAGGCAATCTTCCTACCTCAGCCTCCTAAGCGCCTGGACTACAGGTGTGTGCCACTATGCCTGGTCAGGGAATTTTTTTCCCTTCTTTTCTGAGTAGTCTGAGACAAAAAAAAAAAAAAAAAAAAAAAAAAAAAAAAAAAAAAAAAAAAAAAAGATCATGTACGTGGTTGATAAAAATCACAAGCACATTTAAAATTTAACTGTAAATCAACTTTATAGACCATAAGTGGCTTAGGAATCTAATATTACTTTGCTAAGACTGGTTGTTTTAATTACTAAGAGGCAATCTCATTTGGAGGTGATAGTGTGAGGCTGAGTACTTATTCCATTAAGATACTATACACTTATTGTCTCAGAGTCTAAAATACATTATGTTGGATCATAAGAAAGCAAATCTAAGGTAATTTAAGTATGTTTACCATTGCCTTATTGTTAGCCCAAGAGCAACAGCACTCTCTACTACTAGATGTGCTGAGATGGCGAAAACAGGAAGAACTGATTAATACTTCGAAAAACAAAACAAATGACACCATCAGGAAGGCTTAAATGTTTAGTCCATCTCTCAATGAGATTTTTTTTCCTTGTATCTTCATGTTTAAACCAGCTGTTTAGATTTATCCAAGTGGCATTTTTCATTCCAGGAATCTCCTGTGCAGTTAGGAGGGAAGTAAAAAGCCAGGAGCTCCAGGTTCCTCTCCTTCCTCCCCTGATGGCAAGCAGGAGGGTGTTGTGTGCGTGCTCACTCTAAGAGTGTTTATTAGCAAAAAGGGGTCTGGCTTTCTTAAAAATGATAGATGGGTCAGGTCTTGTGGGGTCATAGATGTCAGGGTACAAAAAGCAGGTCTTTGGGTTAAAAAGTACTTTTTGCTGCCCGCCATTCTTACTTGCTACAGAAGCATGCAGCGTGCCTTGTGTGTACACACAGAAGATCGTGTACAGTTAGCCAGGCATTGAGATAGTATCACGATGTTCACCAGTGATTACTGTTAAACGCTTAGACATTTTTGAGTATTACTATAAAATAGTTTTAGCCTTGGCCTCATTTCATTATTTTATTCTATCCTTCCTGTACCCTGGAACTTTTAAGGCCTCTTTCCGTGAAAAACATAGAAGAAAGCCTGAAAAATCTGCTGGAGTCTTACCAAGAAAGGGGGAAAAATATTTAAATTATCCCACACAGGATTTTTTAAGGCCGTGAAAATATTCTGTACGATATGCTAATGGTGGCTAATTATTATAAATTTGCCCAAACCCTTAAAATGTACGACATCAAGAATGAACTCTGATGCAAACGATGGAATTAGTGTGAGACTGATGTGTCTAACTTCTGAAGTGGGGTCTAGGTGTCCAGAAATGCATCCCCTGTCTCTTAGATAGCCGTCTCTGCAATGTGATTGCGCACTCGCTTGTCCCTGCGCGAAACCAGAGCACATAGGAAAAAAAACCTATCAAGGACGGCGATTATTTTTTTTGCCTCTTCCTTTTGGCACCGCCCACTCCCGACAGGCTGGCTTCCTACACAGCTCTCCGGCAACTGGTTTACTTTCCCATCTCCTCCCTACCGGCGACACCCTCCGAGCCCGCGGCGCGGATGGAACTCCGGCGGAGCCAGCGAGCATGCGCGGCCGTCCGGAGCATGCTCAGTGACGCGCGCGGCGCCCAAGCGCTT